GCTGTTGAGAGAAAGTCCTGGCAGGAATAGTATGGGACTACTGCAGGGGACTTTTTTATACAGGAGGCACTGTATGCTAACACTCTGGCTCTCCAGCTGGGGATCCTGAGGAACATGGGTTTCATTGACAAGTTAATAGTGGTAACTTCTCAATTTGTAGGGCAAAGCTTGCCAGTATGTAGAATTTTCTCAAAATGAGTTTTTCTCTTGTATTTTTTCTTAGATCTTTGGAATTTGCAACTGCTCACTCATGTCAGAATCCAGTAAAAGGTAGTATCAGATTTACCTGAGAACATTTTTATCATCAGCTTAGTACATCACTATTTTACAATGACTTTTAAGTATGCTGCCCTCAAGTTCAAGAACCGCTAGAGCCCAGCCCTCGGCCATTAAATGTAAAAAATTCCAGGTCAGGGGGTATGAATTTAGTGAAATGAAATGAATTAAAAAGAACTGGTGAGTTTTCCAGCTAGACCCCTTTCTGTGTTACTATCTTTTTCTATCTATGATATTTTTGGTAAGATCCAAATTATGGAGAAGGCACCCAGGTGTTATTCATAGAATTGTACATCTAAATTTTTTATCCTTATACACAGAAAATAGATTTAGAAAATCCAGTCACACAGATCTGAAACTGAGTAAGTTAATACTTAGAGTGATGGAAGCACAGGTGAGGTGCCAGGGAAGGTCAGGTCCCTGCCCTCCAAACGCTCCCTGGCTGGAACTAACCAATAAATAGATAACTACAATGAACAGAGATAAGTGCTATGATAAGGGTAGACCCAGAATGCTCTGGGAACACAAGACCAACAAGAGGTTGGGGTCAAGAGAGGTGACATCTATTGTGGAGCAGGCATTGGCCTGCTGATTGAGGAGAGGAGGGAGTTTTAGTCAAACTAAGTGTCACCAACAACCACAGATGTTCAGTATGGCTAGTGCTTGTACTAAAAATTAATTAATAATCTTTGACACATTTTTCCTTTCTTTGTACTCTCGTCTAATATTTATGTACATGCTATTAGTTTTTAATTACTACCCAATTAGCACATGTGCATGCTTGTAAAAGTTCAAAATTGCAAAGTATAGAAGGTAAAAGTTACATAGATGAACACATGCTTAGTTTTTATACAGTTGTAATTGTATATATGGCTTTATATTTCTATTTGTTTCACTCATTTTGTAAGTACTTTTCTTTATCTTTAATAGTCATTAGTTTCAATGACTGCAAAAGTTCCAATTATTTTGTGTCATATTAATTTAGCTATTCCCCTTTAATTGTATGTTTTTTCATTTTTAACTATTGTGCAATGTTGCTATAAATAGAATATGTATAGGTATATGTATATTTCTTCTTTTGAATTATTTTCTTTTTTAAATATATTTTATTGATTTTTTACAGAGAAGAAGGGAGAGGGAGAGAGTTAGAAACATCGATGAGAGAGAAACATCAATCAGCTGCCTCCTGCATACTCCTTCCTGGGTATGTGCCCACAACCAAGGTAAATGCCCTTTACCAGATTTGAACCTGGGACCCTGGAGTCCGAAGGTTGACGCTCTATCCACTGAGCCAAACCTGCTAGGGCTTGAATTATTTTCTTAGAATATATTTAGTTGTAGTGATTTCTTTGCAGAGATGAACAGAAATTATAAATTTACCATTCTATTGAATTTATTTTTTTGCATATATGGTCTAAAAATGATTGCAAATCACTGAATGGTTTATAACTCAGGAAAAAAAAATTCTAAACTGATTTTTAGAGAGGGAGGAAGGGAAAAGGAGAGAGTGAAACACTGATCTACTGCCTTCTGCATGCTCCCTACCAGGAATAGAGACTGAAACCCTGGCACGTACCCTAAGCTGCAATCAAAACAACGACCCTTGGGTGATTGGGATGATGCCCAACCAACTGAGCCACACCAGCCAGGGCTCAGCAAAAATGTCAATGTCTCTATAGTGATTAAAAATTATATTAAATGCACCCTGGCCAGGTAGCTCAGCTGGTAGAGCATCATCCCGACACACCAAGGTTGTGCAGTTCAATCCCTGGTCTGGGCATATTCAAGAATCAACCAATGAATGCATGGATGGGTGGAACAACAAATTGATGTCTTCCTTTCTCTCTCTCTCTCTCAAATCAATACATTTAAAAATTACATTAAATGCATTTTTTCCTTTCAGAGTTTATACCAGTAATTTGGGTGGGCATGCTAGTCAATTTCCCTTGGAAAAATAATGCAAGTCAGCAAATGAGTTCCAGATTTTAGAATTCATCTGTTAAGGGTGATAGGGGAGCATGAACTACATGTTAAGCAATGTGATAAATGCTTTACCTGTGATGTTTTACTTAATTCTCAAAAGAGCTCTATTAAATAGCTCCATTCTGCCAATGAAGTTAAGTTTTTTCAGAGGAGTCGTGTAACTTGCCCAGTGTTGCACAGCTAGCAAAGGGTTGGAGATGAAAATGCAGGCTCCAGAGCTTGTGCTCTTAACCATTCAGGCTACTTGTGGGGAGGATGGGCTGAGAGTCTTCTCAATGTCAATTATCTCTTAATGGAGGGAATTTGTTTTACAACCTGTGTCTGAAAGGAGCTTGAGAAAAAGAAAAACAAAACTGGATACAACCTCATCAACAGATGAGGATCTGGTCTGGAGAAATTTCCTTTCAACACTGTTGCTTATAATCAAATGCCTTTTAATAAGTAATTGTGCTGAGTGATGTGCCTTCCAGCCAAACCAAGCGAACAGAGTTTGTGTCCTCTAGGGACTAAGCCATGTGACTCTGCAGAGGACATGGGTGTTTGAACAGCGACCCAGGAACACATGCATTAAAAGGCAAGATAAAACATTCACCCCGTATCAAAGCACCGAACTTTTCTAGTCCACCAGAGTGAGCTTGGCAGGAAAGAGAAGTCTTCCTGGAGTAAATGGGAGACCAAACGGGAGAATGGGCAGGTGATGGATGTTGCTTTGGGTTTAACTTGAGAGACCAAAGATAGATGGATCCAACACGTGGATGCCAACCCAAGTCTAACTTGGCCTCCTTCCCGGGACTGTGCCTAACTCACCAATCAGAGGGCAGCCTCTTGCTCCACCCAATGTCAGTCATTTAATATAGACATATTTCTACCCAGCAGGCCTGCCCACTGGCCCTGGGTCCTGAGACTCAGAGCAGCTATGTTGCAAGTTCCTCCTTTAATGGGCATAAAAGATGGATCCTCTTATCTCCTGGCAAAAGTCCTTTGTTCAGACCTCCCCATGTCCTTCCCATGTCCCCGTGTCAAGGAGGCATGAACCTACCCTGTGATGGTAGAGCTCTTTGCTAGCAGCATTCTAGAGGAAAATTCCATCAGTGCCTTTTAGATACCAATCTGTCCTCTTGGCTTTACCCAGTCTCCTTAATACACAGTAACCAATCTATAATATTCCAGCAGTAAGTTCCACTGCCAACAACTCCATCCTCTGGCTTGTGTTTTGCTGTAGTGTGTGTAATCATGGGCTCTATTCTTAGGTTCAGAGAGATGTACAAAAGTCACTTCTCTCGCAACTTGCTATATTTACCCAACATTTATATAATCGCTAACCATGTACCAGGCACTATTTCCTATTATATGTTTTCCTATTATGTGAACTCATTTAATCTTCATAACAATTCCATGAGGTGTTATTTCCATGTGGCAATTGGCAATGCTGAGGTTCGTACCCACACAGGCAGGTTCCAGAGTCCTGACTCCTAGCCACGGAGCCATGCTGTCTCCAGAACTTCCTAGGGATCCCTGATGGATGGATGTCTGTTATCATATGAGAACGGCTTAAAGCTCAAGGCAAGATAGGAGGTTCAAACTTCAGAAATATGGCTGATCAGGAGATAGAGAGGGGGCTGTCAAAAGAAGCTTGCAGTGCCCTGGAGGTACACACTGTCATGTTGGACACCCCCTCCCACTTTAGTGATAGCTGAGGTCAATAGAGCAAATACTGTTGGTCTGGCACTGTACCAAATGCTGGGCATGCATTATTTTATTTATTCTTCTCAACCACAGGTAGGCATTCGTCATTATGCCATGTTACAGAAGAAGGGGCAGGCTTGGAGAAGTAAAAGGTCTTATTCAGGATCCCATAACTGTTAGGTGATGGACTCTGGATTCAAACCCAATTTGTCAATAGCTCTTAACACGGGTTCTCCTACCTAGGAAGAAGGGGGATTGGTATTGTATACATTTTATTTCCTTTTAAAATGTATTATGTAATATTTCAGATAGAAAAAAAGGCACATCATGCACGGATAGGCTTTATTCATTCTCCCCACCCCCTCCCCTGTGCATATCCCACTGAGCACTGTCCTAATATTAGGGATGTAGCAATAAATTACTTCAGATGTAAGGGGGCGGGGTCAAGAGGAAACCCTACCTAAGTAAACCACAGGAAGTCACTTAGTTTGGCTACCAAAAAAAAAAAAAAAAGAAAGAAAAAAGAATCTGTTTAAACACAGACTAAAAGTATCTTATTTATAATGCAAAAGGCAAGCAGCCGGGGTGGTGGGCTTTGGGAAGTGGAAAGGGCTCGATCCGGGAGCCATCATCCTTTACTCAATCAAGCATTTCCAGAGGCCTGTCTCCCATAAAGTGGGGGTACAGCCGAAAATTTGGCAAACAGGTCGCTGCCCTCTTAGGGTTTATAGTCTGGTGAGAATATCCCCATCTCGAGTCCATGCCAACCTCCAGCTATGTTACTTTGGATAAGGAGCTTCTGCCCCTTTTTTGTAAAAATCAATGGGGTCAGACTAGCGGCTCTGCCACTCAAATTCGCAGCTCAGAACGCGACGCAAGCATCGGTGCCCAGCAGAGGGTAGGAGAGGCTCCCCGGCTCCCCGGTTCTGCGCCGCCGCGGGGAGGCGGGAACGCAGCTTAAGTCTTAGCAGCGTCCGCGTTCGCGTTCGCGTTCGCGTTCTGAAAGCACTTGTCCCTCGCGGCGCCCCGTCCACCCCGCCGCTGCCGCTGCCGCCGCCGCTCGCGGAGCCGGAGGAGGCGGAGCTGGCTGTGTCCCGGCTCTGGAGCGGGTTAGCTGCGGAGGAGGTGGTGCGGCCGGCCCGGGTGGCCCAGGCTCGGGCGGGGCAGCGGGAGAGGCTGGCAGGCAGCGCGGGCGAAGAGCGGTGCCTTGGAGTGGGCGCTCCCAGCGAGAGGAGTCCGCTCCATGCATGCGGGCCGAGCCCGGCCCCTACGAGCCGCCGACATGAAGAAAGACGTGCGGATCCTGCTGGTGGGAGAACGTGAGTCCGCGCGCCCGGACCGGCGGCGGCGGCGGCGGCGGCGGCGGCGGCGGCCACCGCAGCCCCTGCGGCCCCGGGCCTTCCCGTCCCGCCCCGCGCTCTTCCAATGCTCCGTGCACCGTAACGCTTCCCCTTGGGCTGTCTGCAGGCGGCTCTCCACCTTCTCCCTCCCTCCCCGAGGCCCTCCTAAGACCCCCTTCCCTGTCCCCCATTCGCCCTCCCAAGCCGTGTCCCCATTAGTCCCTGGCCGCCCGGCCTCATCCCTCCGAAGGTCCTCTCCGCCTGTTCCTCTGCGAATCCTCACCTCCTGGGCCTCGGCGGTTCCAGGCCGCCTCCCGTCAGACCCCCTGGCGTTCCTTCAGCGGAGACTCCCTGGTCACCGCTGGGCAGGTGCTGGGACCAGCGGCCTGGCCAATGGGGAAGGCGGGAGCGGCTCCCGGGAAAGCTAGGGGGAGGGGTGCAGAACTCCGACTGGTGCACAAGGTCAGGTTTCTGCCTTTGCCCCCCGCCAACGCAGTCTCTCTCTCTCTCTCTCTCTCTCCTCTCTCTCTCTCTCTCTCTCTCTCTCTCTCTCTCTCTCTCTCTCTCTCTCTCTCAGCATTGACACGAAGATAGGGAGCGCTTTTAGTGATTCTTTGTGCTTTGCAATTGGCATAACTCTGGATACACTTGCTCACGCCTCAAAAACGTACTCCCTACTTCAAGTTATACAAGGGCTCAATGAATGAATAATTCTCCGGGGGCGATCCTTTAGTCGAGAATTGTTGTTACCCGAAATTGTTGTTACTACTTTCCCCGGTCTTTATTCCGTGGCTACTGGGGAATTGATTTATAAATAAGGACAGGCACGCCGAGACCCAGCGTACACACATACACAGGAGAGACCCTTCACCCTTTGAAGATATAGTGGAGGGGAAATGCCTTCTGTCCCCGCCCTTGGGGACAGGACAGCAGAGGCTTCTTGATAACACTGTACAAGTGCCATGGCTCCGTTGGTGGGACTGAAATAAGAGAGTGGGCTGGCGGGACTGGGCTGCTCGTTTTCAAACACAGGGTAGTTAAAGCGTTGCCATTGCTGTTTGGAAGCGTTCTGTTCTGGACCCCACTCTCTTCTAGGGGTGTCCCCCCAGGTCCCTGCGATATTCTCCCAAGGAAGAAAGGGCCCCTTCTGTAGTGTGTTTTGCTGTTCATTGAAATCTCTGTTCACCTGCTGTTTGGAGAAATTCCCTTTAGAATTAGAAGTTGGAAGTAAACTTTAGCCAGCTTACTTTTTTATTTGCAGTTATGAATTTTAATCTTTAACTTATAACTTTTTTGAGAGAGAGAGAGAGAGAGAGAGAGAGAGAGAGAGAGAGAGAGAGAGAGAGAGAGAGAGAAAAAAAATTTGGATGGGTTGCCTCTCTCGAGGGTCCAGACTGGGGATGGAATCGGCAACTGAGGTGTATGTCCTGACTGGGAATCCATCCCACTGGTGAATGAGAGGACGCTCAAACCGACTGAGCCACACTGCCAGGGCTACAACCATATCTCAATCTGTATTTCGCATGGACTTCCTTGACAAAGTTCAGGAAGGTGTTATTGAACATGATTCATGCTGATGTATTTGGAAAAACAAGGTAGGAAAAGGGCGTAGATGATCTGCTTAGAAACTGATCCTGACTGTATCCTCAAATGGCTTTATGGTATATTCACTTTTTTTCTTTTCTATAATATATTCATTTTACCATTAATTTTTAAAAAGCAAAAATCCCATGTTTAATTAGTTTTAAACATAGGAAACAGTTACATGTAATCAGTCTGCAAAACACCTAATAGGAAGACTATACATATATAAAATATATTATCAGCCTTAAGACATTTAAGTGAGAAAAAAAAAAGAAAAGGAAAAACAATAACAAAACAAATTTAAAAAGACATTTAAGTTAAAATGTTAACAGTATTATTTATTTAGAGATACAGAAAATAATTAAACATTTGTTAGAAAAATTACAAGCTATGTTCTGCAGAAATGAAAGCAAATAAGAGAGTTGACAAAAGTATACGTGCAAGAAGAGGTTTTTTTTTTATCAGAGGGCGAAACTTGACACGAGAAAGCCTTAGGTTTTGAGGAAGACATTTTTCTTAAGAAGTGTGGTACCAAAAACTTCAGGCCAGCTACCATACCATTATATACTTTTTTTCCCACATTTAAAAATACTAGAAAGAGCTGAAACTGGTTTGGCTCAATGGATAGAGCGTCGGCCTGTGGACTAAAAGGTTCCGGGTTCAGTTCCAGTCAAAGGCTTGTACCTTGGTTGCGGGCACATTCCCAGTATGTGGTGTGCAAGAGGCAGCTGATCAATGATTCTCTCTCCTTGATGTTTCTAACTCTATCTCTCTCTCTTCCTCTCTGTAAAAAAAAATCAATAAAATATATATTTTTTAAAATACTACAAAGAGGTATACTTATTTAAAACATTTAATTGGTTATTTTAAAGGATAGTATTTTGGAGGTGAGGGAGAACATTTTAAGCATTACTTTTTGAGATTTAATGTAAATATTTGATAGCTGTTAACCTAGCTGTAGCACTTTAAATACTAGGTACATATAAGTGTGATCAAGACTATTTTAAATAGTACTGCCCTGCAATGTGGATTTATCAGGAAAACCACTTTTTTAGGAAAATGTGGTAGTAATTCAGTTGTAGTTTTGTTTTTTAAACATTTTATTTATTTTTTTACAGAGAGGAAGGGAGAGAGAGAGAGAGTTAGAAACATCGATGGGAGAGAGTCATCAATCAGCTGCCTCTTGCACATCCCCTACTGGGGATGTGCCCGCAACCAAGGTACATGCCCTTGACCGGAATCAAACCCGGGACCCTTCAGTCCGCAGGCCGCCGCTCTATCCACTGAGCCAAACCGGTTTCGGCTCAGTTGTAGTTTTAAGATGTTAACTAAGGGGATTGGGAAAAGGAAAAGGAAAAAGGGCATCATATCTGGTTTTGTAAAGCCTATTTTTTTCCATCACTTCAGCGCATTTTATTGCTGTTAGTGTGTGTCCCTGCACCACACAGCCGCAGCTTCATTCATTGAGGCCCCTAAATAGTTGTGAATGGTTTCAGCACTCTCTTGCCAAACTTATACTGTCCTCTGAAGGTGAAATGGGCCTTTTGGCCCATCTGGAGTCTGACCCATCCAGGCTTTATTGCTAACTAATCGCTTCATATTTATTTGATGATTAGATCAGAGAAGTTAGGCTGAACATACATTTTAAGGTGTTTATTTGCAGAGAAAGCCCAAGTGTTTTAAATATCACCTGCACCTTATCTTAATTATTGAACATATTAAATACCATTCAGGGCAAAGGAAACGTTAATTACCATCTTTAAGCAAAACAAAATGTTAAAAATCTTTAAAGGTGCAACCACACAAATCTTAGTTCTTCAGGTTATAGCTTTTCATGGTCAGATTTGTTGGCCAAAATTTGAATTTAACTATATTTGCATGCTAAACAAATGTCCTTATTACAATAAAATCAACATTATTACCCTTTATCTGAATCATGTAGCTACATTAAAAGTATACAAGGTAGTTTTAGTTTACTAAGGCCTTGCTTATAAATTAAATTGAGATGTAGTTTTCTACTGTTCAGATTATTAAGAGAGTAGAATTGTTATTCTCTTTTTTAAATGAATCCAGTAGCTCTTACCCGATTTGTAACTGATTAGTTTATCAGCGGAACCTTTGACAAACTAGTTCAAGGTTGGCCTAGGCTTTTGCAATACTGTGTCTCCTTAACTGGTCTCCTTGCTTCTAATTTAGTTCATTCTCCATGTAGCAAATAGCCTCATCTTTAAAAAGTATCTCAGATCTTGTTACCCATTTTAAAAATTCCCAGATGATGTCTGCTTTCACTTAGAATAAAGTCCAAACTTTTTAATGGTGGTTTAGGAAGTCCTTCACAATCTGGCTCTTGCTTTACTCTTGTTTCTTTTCTTCTTTTTTATTTCTTGTTTCCTTGGGCTAGAAAGCTTCTTGAGGGCAGGGAATTGGTCTTGTTTGTTTAGATATCCCCAGTGCCTAGAATAGACTGAGCACAAAATAGGCACCCAGATAATTGTTGAAAGAATGAATGAGTTCGGTTAGTTCCATTTATTTAGACTTAACTTGTTTTCCAAACCGTTCCTCTCAGCCATAAAAATTTGATCATTCTTTCTTAAATCCAGTCTGCTGTGGTTATGGGTAGGATTTGAAGAGGCAGCATTCATCCCGTCTCTAGTCCCATGTCCTTAGCTCTGTTTTGTCTGGGAGATTCCTGTATTCTGGCAATAAAGTAGACCAGTGACTTACACTGACAATGCATGTCTGTTCCATGTCTTGGCTGCCAGGAATTATTGTTCTTGCCCAGCGAAGTCAACTTCTCTTTGAAACCAGAGGTTCATCTTAGAAATATGAAGGGGTTGTGGAACGATTCTTTAGGTGTAGGCTAGGGATAAAAGTTAAAGAGAATTCAAGAATTAAGCCAATAGTTATTTTAGGAAAACAAAAAACTCTCTGTGGTCCTGTTAAAGCCATATAGCTTTCCATACTGGTATTTGTTAGAATGATATTTGAAGATTAAACTGCTCAGTTTCAAATAGACAGTGTTTACTACCTGATTTTCTGATCAATATGTTGAAGTATCCTTTCTCCACTGTCTCTTGTTCTTCTGGCACCATTGGGCACTGGGATAAAGGAGAGGGAAGATCACAGCATTCATTGGTCCTTCTGCAGGCCCGCATCATCTGCATATGGTCAATAATATTTTCCTTTGGAATGATGCTCAGCTATTTTCCCAAATGCTCAAGTTTTCCACTTAAAGATACACTTTCATAGTCACCTTTCCCTTCTCTGTGTATTCTAATTAGAATAACTTAGGAAAAGCCGACACGCTTTCTTAATGAATAAAAAATGAGGAGTAGGTACCTTTGAAGCATACAGTGTTTGTTGACGGTAATTGGACCCAGAAAATATTATTTCTG